TATACCCAACCATCCACACAGGGCTCTGTGTCTGGCTCTGTCACATTGGAGAAGGTGCCATTCAGATGAAGCAGATGCCACTGTGGTTGGACAAAGCGACGGCACTTGTCTGGCCTCAGGTTGGAATCCAGTGGGATGGAGATCCTCAGGAGGTCATCTTGGCTCAGGGTTCCACTGTCACTGTCAGAGACAGTGTCATTGTCAAGGATGTGGACCCAGCAGCGATGACCAGGGATGGCTGCAGTAAAGTTCTCCAAAACAGCATGAGGAGCCACCATGACATTGCAAATCAGAAGGAAAACCATCTGAAGGATCTGGTATCTCCCCATACTTCCAGCTTGATTCAAGAGATCCTGAAAGGCCATTGAGGCTGAATGACTGTCTCCAATGGGAAGCAGAAATGCCTACACTTAGGGGAGTATAAATATTTAAATAAAGTTCTGTGTCACAGAAACACCCTAAATAGGGTTGTTTTTGAGCTCTTCTTAATATGCCCATCTTCATGTCACACCAGTCACAGAACTATGATTTGTTGTTTTGTTGGTATCAGGGAGGGACCTGTTTTCTTCCAAGTAACTAAAAAAATTCTGCTAATATTTTTTCCTGGAATCCAATCTGTTAAACATTTATTAGAAATTTTGAGCACCACCCCCATGGTCACTTCTGGTAAGTGACCTGTAACTCCCTGTAAATAAACCAGAGTTCATCTGTAGACAAATTTCTCAATGGTCTTATTAAATAAGAAGCACAGAATTACAGAGGTAATAGCCAAAGAGATCAGAGAACTAGCAAAGAGCCACAACTAGCCTTAACTTATCACCTTATCGCCATCACTTCCCCAGAGAGAGCTTCTTCCCATCTAACCTGTGTTTTTATTGCCTTCCTGTTCTGCCTTCTCTTTGGCTCTAAGCACAGCCACTTGACTTCCTTGTCACTGCCTGTCTATATAGTCCTGTAGGTCCCCATGGTTGGTACTGGGATAGAAGACTCATGTCATTACGCTTGGCTGTGTCCTTGACCACACAGAGACTCTGCCTGCTAAGTGATCAGATTAAGGGTGTGGGCTACCACTGCCTGACTACTGTTCCTGGCTTACTAAGTGACCTCACTATGTGACCTCTGATCTCCAGGCAAACTTTATTTATTAACATACAAATAAAATCACATTTCAGCACAATTAAAATATCACCAC